CAGGAAAGTGAGAATGGATCACTTGCTTGGAATGGGATTTAGGAATCGCTGGAATCAGGAACTGATAGAATCTTAAATGTCGGGATAAAACTTTTTTTTTCTCTCCTAAAGTTAAGATGGCTACGCGTCATGCTTATTCTAACCCTTCTCTTGTATAGACGCCTTAATGTGACGTCAAAGCAGCTCGATCTGGGGGACAAAACGAAAGAGTTCCAATCTGCTGAGAATTAGAACCTATTGTTTTGTCCTCAGGATTGAGCTGCATTCCAAAGTGCTGCAGGGGGTGTATTTTGGCACTTTCGCGCGCTTCAAACTAAACATGTATAGCCATAGCAGGCGCACACGTTTTCTATTTATTCATTTTAGCCACCGGGTATATATCGACACTGATGAAATTTTTTCTAGCTTTACATTAATTAACAAAGTCTAATTCATACCAATGTTTCTACAGCTCCAGGTCTGTTGACACGAATACTCTTAACRGTCTGAAAGACGTCCAATACTTGTTCTTGTTTGACTCGTTCAAGACACGAAGCAATAGCACAGAATGTACCGCTACGACCATCACCGTTGCTATGAAAAGAGGATCAGCATCGATTTAGTGAAGTGCTTATGCTTGGGCTGAGTAACAAATTTCAATAACACAAGTACCTGCACTGAACTACTATTGGGGAGTTTCCTGACTTCTGTTGATATTTTTGTACTTCATCGATCAAATTCAACACTGTCTGGGGATCAGCAGGGATGCATTTGTTCTCCCAATTCAAGTGTTGCAGATGAAACACAATACGACGAGTCTGGAAAAACAACAGTTATTGGCAAGAGTGAGGACAATGCGATGGAACATAAAGTAAGTTTTAACTAATATTTCTTTTTTCTCGAAGATCCCTTGCAAGTCAAATGTTAAGCATAGACTTTGTTCTAGCGAAAACAAACAATTGCACCGTGTTTCATATCCATTGCATGTACGTTACAAGGATCAATGCAGCTTTACAAATGTCGTCGCAGAAACAGTTCAAGTATTTGAGCTTTGACTTCTGTGGCATTTTTTTTCCGTCGTACAAGGCATAAACGGCAATGAAATTAACAAATTAATAAAGCATAAATTAAACATAAGATTCTACGTTGCCAGTGGTAGAAAAAAAAAAAAA